TGATCAATCAATGATCACTCAGACCGGCCGAAGACTCCAAAGGGTTAATTACGTCTGCTGGTCAATGAATGTTTCTGTCATTTTTGCTTCCACAACAACTTTTTTTTTCTCAAAATAATATTGAAAGATTTTTCCTCCACCATCAGGATCGCCATTCTTATGGAAGGTCTACAGAGGATACCAACCCCTAAAATGATATGGTGGTGCTGTTATTTGCCGGGAAAATGCGATTTGAAATCGCATTGACCTGGTGATCGCCCCGGTGGTCTAGAGTAACCTCGAAACCTTCCAGAGGTCAGGTGAGGGGTTCGAATCCCGGCGTAAGCGAGCTTTTCTTGCAAAGTGAGTTTTTCTCTCGCTTCCGCTCCTCCTGGCCTAGTGGATAGCGCTAGTTCGTGTGTACACNGGCGTAAGCGAGCTTTTCTTGCAAAGTGAGTTTTTCTCTCGCTTCCGCTCCTCCTGGCCTAGTGGATAGCGCTAGTTCGTGTGTACACAGAGGGAAGAGAGTGCTGAATGAACTCTTCTCGCATTAAAAATGGAAGCCAAAGTACCGCAGGAGGGGAGGGTAGAGAGGGGCTCTTCTGTGTGACCACGGGTTGGAGTAAACGCCACCAGTGCTGTGAGCGCTGATTTGAAGTGAAGTGAAGACCCCGCAATCGCTCTGGTCTGCCGGCAAAGATTTGGGAACCCAAATCGCAGCGGATTTTGAGTGGTGTTTACACATGTTTGATATACAAGTAGATCTTCAGGAGGACTAACGTGTTCTGATTGGTCGGGCGTTGTTCGGCGCTGGTTCTGGCGGTCGATTCCTCTCCAGCGCCCTCTCCCCGTTCCGCATTCCGACCACGCGGCGCGCAGCCGCGTGCCGCCCAGTTCGCGGCCGCTAGGCCGTGCTTTGGCCGTGGGTGAGGTTTAGGGTTAGGGTAGATGTGGGTTGGGCAACCTAGCCTTGCTCGCGTGAAGAACCTAGCCTCGCTACGTTCAACATCGGTTGGTCCTTAAGAGTTACTATCAAAGTGTAACCAAGACTCACATTTTTTTTCCTGCGATTTGGGTTTGACGTCATTTACAAACCCAATTCTGCAGTTGTTGCTGAGATTTGAGGTCTGCAGTTATGTGCTGGTGAGATGTGCTCTGCTTTCGAGCACTGCCTTTTGCCTTGCCTTGGCCAGTGGTGATCGGCGAAAGTTTGGTTTCACTCGTTGTTAACAGGGCTGTGTCCTATGTGGTCTACTTTCGTGCATGACTCTGTACCAACAGTGGACGTGCATCCTTCCCGTCGTGGGTGCGGCGATACTTTCGACCAGTCAGGGGGGGGGGTAACACTGGGGGTAACGATGTAATGATGAGGGAGGGGTGGTTCGGTTGTTCGGGCACGGGGGAGATCTACGAATGAGACATACAACAACGGACGCGTTCTCACAAGCCGACACAAGCATTAGCACGAAACTCGCAGGAGGGGTCCATCGGGCCAGGAGGGACACCTCTTCCAACCCACACGAAAATCTGTCGTTGCAATCTCGAGAAACATCAACCGACGAAAAACAACTTGCTTTCAGACAAGAGACCGGAGATCGCCCCCTTCCTTGCCTTTATCATATTGACTGAAGTACCTATGTGCGCTAGTGTGCGCTCCCGATGTTTCCTGGTAAAAACAGGAACAACACGCGACCAAACGTCCGAGTGGGCGGCGATTGCCCACGTTTCCTACCTACGTTGGCTCCCTTTGGAATCCTTGCAAGAACCAACCAACCACGGGCATCGCTACCGCCGGCCCGCAAGATGACCACCAGGCTGTCCAGACTGCAAAACAGCAGCCAACTACCGGCCTCGCAGTGCAGCTTTCTGGTGCCTACCCTGTAGCATCATACCTCCTCCTCCCCCGAAGCCCGTCCTACTAACATGCGCAACCAAACAACAACGTACGTAGCCCCCCCCCCCCCCCCCCCCCCCCCCCCCCCCCCCCCCCCCCCCCCCCCCCCCCCCCNAACCTACACCGTGCCCTGTGCCATTGCGTTAACTTTAGCGATGAACGGCGTTGTTAATCAAGCCTTCCTCCCGATTGACTGCCCGACAACATGATGCTACACCCACGTCAACGGCAGTAGGTCGTGCTTACGCGTACAGTAGGCACACCGTGAGGGGTTGCTCAACCTTGGAGCAGCTTCAGTCTTCCCGAGAGCATCGATCCGGTGCTACCCCCGTACGTCCACATGCTTTAACACGCATTCACTGTATGCGTACGGCGAGGGGTTCTCTCGATAGACGTGCTAACGTGGGTGAAAGTTTAGCCTTGGAGAAGCTTGCTGACCGCCGCGCTCTCGTCACCGTTAGCCTCTGACAAGGCTGCGCGCACTCTCGCCGGTTCAAAGCCCATCTCCAACAGGCGCCGGAACTTGGGGTCGTTCGCATCTCCGCCTAGATGGTTGTTTTGTTTCGCGTTCAGGGGGCACCGGAACGATAGGAGGCGGGGGCAGGGGGGTCAACCGACCACGCAAACAACGACAAGACTTTCGTTGCCTTCGGTTGACTTTCGTTCCCAACACGAGAGCAAGAGCAAATTCGTGATGAGGCCTTACCGTACCTGCATTGCTCAAAAGCAAAGATGGGGTATCTACAACCCACTACATTACCTGTTATGCACCTCAAAATTAGACTCGAAGACGAAAAACATCACCCCGGGATATATGACCAACACGCACCGACCAAGCAATGTACATTATACATCAAACATCGAATTATTTTCCAAGCACACTGGGTAGTGCTGTCGACCGTCGGAAACGACAACGCTCCTGTCGAGCCTCAAAACTACTTCGAAAAAAATTCCGTGGCCCGTGTGCTCTTGGTGCACGCCTAGTCCCCAAACCCCCCAAACACAAATACGACTTTAAACAACGTGTACTTGATAGAGAGATCGGAACGGCTACTCATGTGAAAAGAGAACAATATCGTGCCCGAACAGCATGGAGGTTGGTGTTGGCAGTTCCAAGAGAGAGGCGGCCGTACCCAGCAGTTGCAGCGGTTCGTGAACGCACCCTTGTCATCGACCGGATAGGGTTGGATTACTTGCTGGGGTCTTGAGGGGATGAATGAAGCGCGTTACGCAAAGAAGGAACCATGATTTCAGGCCCAACCTCTTTCGTAATGTTCTCAACACATGGATGGCAGAGAGAAGCCCCTCTCGCCTACACTGGCTCCCAGGCAATTAGACAAGAACAACACGGACAGAAGCCTCTCTCTCTCGCCTCTACTGGCTCCCGGACAAAGCGACAAGACAAATGAGGAGCGTTTTTCTCGAAAAACACGGGCAGAAGCCTCTACTGGCTTCCAGACAAAGCAATTGACATTTAACAGAGCAGCAGCAGGGTGTTCTCTAAGCTTCTCACCGCCTGCTGCGGTAGGAATAGGCGGAAGCGGCTTCGCCTGGCCCCCAGCCCTGGCCCCAGCGCCGGCAGCAGCACCGGGGGCACCGCCACCGCCTCCTGCGACGGACCAAGGTCCCCACCGTCCTCTACCCGCCGGGGCCCCCGCCGGCACCGCCGGTTCCGCTGCGGGGGGGGCCTGCGGTGCCTGAGCAGCGGTCGGGCCTCCATAGTAGCCACCCGGCTGGGCAGGCGGGGGTCCCGAGCCCCCGGGGGGGTACTGGGCCTAAACATTGCGGGGGGGTGGGGGGGGGCGTACTCATGTCTTGCGTGCCTCAGAGGTGTCAAGACAATTGACCGGGGGTGAGTGGGGGGTTATAGTTGTTGCTCGCCTTAGTCTTGGGGGCACCTTGGCCAGGCGTCACGACTACATAAAAGACATAGAGATGCATGGTTCCAGTATTGAGTGGTTTCCGGTTCCTGGGTGTGTGTGAAGGGGGGGGGTACTCATAGTCGTGCATGCCGTAGTCGTTAGACCATTAACCTCGCATCCCTACAAAGCCGGGACGGAGCACGCCGGGTTCTCACCGGACCAGGCTCTCACATCACCAAGCGCGAAGCACCGTGAGGTATTCGGGGAGTGGCATCAAGGGTGCGCTGCATCCTGCTGAGGGTGTTCGCCATCGTGTGCTTACTTTCTTGCGTACGGATGACAGCTGCGTATGCACATGGCTTAATTTATTTTCTGGTGCTGACCAGGCGGGGCGGGGGTTACTCATTTGTTATTCGCCTTAGCCTTGTGGCCACCTCGGCCAAGCGTCACGACTAAATGAAAGAGACGAGATGCATGGTTCCAGTATTGAGTGGTTTCCGGTTCCTGCGTGAGCACACACCTGGGTTTGGTGAGGTCGGGATTCGATGGTTGCGGAGAAATAGATCTATCAAAATCGATCAATCGCACGCCTGCTAAGCGTTCTCCCGCACTGCTACGGCGCTAATTTGGCGGTGCTCTCTCTCCCCGAAGCCCGGACGGCATGCCGAGCCGTCGTTCTCCAACCAAGACACGAGCAAGAGTCATTGACGCTATTGTGTCAACTGTCTGTCGGTGAGAGTACATGACAGTATCCTCTGCGGGATCCCCTAATCACGCGGAATTGCAGCTTTCTCATCCTCGTGATCAAACTAGGGTGTAGTCTGGGCGCCACTAATCACTCGGCATTGCAGCTGTCTATCCTAGGGGCTGCCTTTCAGCGCCCCTCAAGCCACGCTCGACAAAAAAACGCACATGTTGTTGTTGGTAGCTCGGAGGTCCCCCCTGTTGCTGCTGCTGCTGGCCGCCCCAGCCCATTCCATGGCCCGGCTGTTGTTGCTGCTGCTGCGGCTGCTGTGGTTGCTGCTGCCCCGACGGCGGGTGCCATCGTGCGTAAGGATAGGCCGCTGACGGCGCTCCTGTCATCCCACACCAAGGGAAGAAACAAGAAACACATCAACGCAGACAAGACGAGAACCGTTCAGCTCACGGGCGGAAGAACAGAGGAAGATATGATGTGAGCGCCTCATACCATACACAACACACAATAGTACTGCTGCGCATGAACAAGGTCGGTCAACCACTCTCTCGGTTCATCATCCTCCCGAATCCCCCCTCTTGGTATCCCGCAGTTTCACCTGCAACCCCCACCCTGTCCTATCCCGCATTTTCACTTGCAATCCCCTCCCTCTCCTATCCCGAATTTTCACTTGTAACCGCCTGTCTCCTATTCCACATTTCACCTGCGACCCCCCCCCCCCCCCCCCCCCCCCCCCCCCCCCCCCCCCCCCGGCTTTCACCCCCCCCCCCGCCTCGCCACTCCCCCCCCCGGTGTTTGCCATCGGGGTTGGGTTTTCGTCGCTTGGCAACGACGTTGTAAAGCAAGCCCCCCCCATTCTAGACGTAGGTGGGTCGGCGCTGTTGGTAAAGCGCTATAAAACATGCCACCCCAAATATAGCCCCCATAGTGTGCGCTACCAAAGACGCGTGACGCATGGATGCGTGGAGTGAGGATTGCTTACGGAAACCTCACAGGTTGAGTGATGTAGGAGATTACTGGACACACAGACGTGTTGAGTGATTATAGCTGTACACTGAAACCCCGAAGGTTGAGTGAAGTTTGAGTTTGCCAGACACATAGACGCGCTGCGTGGGGATAGCTACGCACTGAAACCTCACGAGTTGAGTGATGTTGGACAGTGCCGGACACATAGACGCACTGAGTAAGGAAAGACACATACTGAAACCTCACACGTGATTTGCATTGGAGATTGCCGGACACCTAGACGTGTTGAATGAGGATAGCTGCATACTGAAATCTCACAGATGGATTGGTTTTTGAGTTTGCTAGACACATAGACGCACTGAGTGAGGAAAGACACATACTGTAACCTCACAGGTGATTTGTATAGGAGACTGCCGGACACCTAGACGTGTTGAGTGAGGATAGCTGCATACTGAAACCTCACAGATGGATTGGTTTTTGAGTTTGCCAGACACATAGACGCTCTGAGTGGGGATAGCTACATACTGAAACCTCACAGATGGATTGGTTTTTGAGTTTGCCAGACACATAGACGCGCTGCGTGGGGATAGCTACATACTGAAACCCCACGAGTTGAGTGATGTTGGATAGTGCCAAACACATAGATAAACGCTTTGAGTGAGGATGGCTGCATGTTGAGACCTAACGGGTTGAGTGACGCCTGCGACTGCCGAACACATAGACGCATTGAGTGACGAAAGCTGTATACGGAAAGCTCACAGGTTGATCGGTATCGGAGTTTGCCGGACACATTGACGCGTTGAGTAAGGATAGCTGTATAATGAAAATCCACAGCTATTGTGAGGGGACAATTCGAGAATGCAGTACACATAGACCCGACCCCCAACCAGTACCCGAACCCCCCCTGAAAAATAGAGGCCATGCGCCCCCCCCCCCC